AGGATTTAACTCTACAATTTGAATAGTACAGCACGATCCTGTGGTACAAACACACAGGTATCAAGCACTTTAATGGACCATTGATATACACATTCACATCACATGTATAATTATTCCGATCAATCATCGAAAGTATCATTCATTTCATACAGCTAAATTGAACAAATTTACTAGTAACTATGACAACAGACTTTTAATTAAAATGATCAACAATAACACCAAAAAAAAACTTTCATCATAACCCTTATGAATTGAAAATGAACTCGGATTTTGTGACGATTGATTTAGATCACTATTAACATATATTGATGAACTATTATCATTTAATTATAGAATCATTAAAAATTAAAATGAATATATAATTTCACTGATTGAAATCATGAGTCAATTGAAGCTAGACCACCATGGAGAACCTGGAAGCACTGGACGGCCGTTTCGTCCTAGTATGGGACTCCTCAGCAGTGCACATCCACGATCCCGCACCACACGAGATTCGAACTCAGGACCTATCAGTCTCGCGCTAGACGCTTAACCAACTATACCACTGAACCGGCATCCAGTGGTGTTAGTGTCTACCTTCAACCAATCCACGATGTCGCGCCGCCGCTGAGGAGTCTCATACTAGGAAGAAACGGCCGTTCAGTGTTTCCAGGTTTTCCATGGTGGTCTAGCTTTAATTGACTCATGACTTCAATCAGTGAAATTTCTAAAAGTCTTCACAAACCCCTTCTGATAATGAGTTATATCATCAATTTATGAGTTTAGACTGAAAATGATATACATTATGTTATGATTGATGGTTAATAGTGAAATTTAGGATAAGTGTCTCGTCCTGTCTGAGATTCGTCAGTTGAATGAACATCATAAATTAGAAGTTTTAAGAAAATTGTTTTGAAATTCTACGGTGAAGAGGTGTGATCACAACGATAGCGTTGGACGATGATAGCATCATAATGTAGATAAATTGAAGCTGAAGATATAGATCATTAGATTACAATTGAATGATCTAAACACATTGTTCTGATTACTTATTTACTTAAGTACTTTGGCCTGTTACCCTCAATGGAGCATAGGCCGCCGACCACCATTCTCCAACCAACTCACTCTGTCCTGGATCTTCCTTTCTACTTCTATCCAATTGTTGTTCATTCTCCTCATGTCTGTCTCCATTTCTTGACGTAATATGTACTTTTGTCCTCTCTTCTCATATGACCTTAGATTCCAAGTGAAGGCTCGCCTGGTGATTTAGTTGTGTGCTTTCCTCAATGTGTGTCCTATCCACTTCCAGAGCTTCTTCTTGATTTCTTCCTCCTCTTGAATCTGGTTTGTTCTCTCCCACAGTAGATTGTTTCTGATAGTGTCTTGCCAGCGGACCCGAAGTATTTTGCGTGGACAACTGTTAATAAACAATCGTATCTTCTGGATGATAGCTTTCGTAGTTCTCCAGGTTTCCGCCCCATACAGTAGAACTGTCTTGACATTGGTGTTGGAAATTCTGACTTTGGAGTTTGTTGACAGTTGTTTTGAGTTCCAGATGTTCTTCAGTTGTAAATATGCTGCTCTTGCTTTGCTGATCCGCGCCTTCACATCTGCATCGGATTCACCGTGTTCATCAATCATGCTGCCCAAATATGTAAAGGTTTTTACATCCTCCAAATCTTCTCCGTCAATTGTGATTGGATTGGTGCATGCTGTGTTGTATCGGAGAATCTTGCTTTTCCCCTTATGCATGCTGAGACATACTACTGCTGAGGCTTCTGCTACACTGGTCGTCTTCTTCTGCGTTTATTGTTAAGTGTGCGATAGAGTTTCATCCTTTAAATATGAATAAGACTGGATGAAAAAACTTTACATTGATTGTATAGTAGTCAACTTAAGAATTGGATTCAAAAATGTTTCGGTTATGTGGGATTCAATCGATTTTCATTCTGTCGATCGTAAATACTTTTAATTCACTTTTGAAAGGAGTCTTTAGGGCTAATGGATTAGGTCTTTTGATCAAGGATTTAAACGGATTTGTTTTATACTGTAATAGGGAAAGTTCTATGAAGGTAAGTTTCTTTATCAACACTACTATTTACTGTCTCAGCTGATTCGATCGTTGGTAGAAAGTCTAGAAAAGCAATAGTACTATCACATTCCTCATCTCTTAGCAAAAACATTGCTAGATGAAGTTCGACAAACTTGCCCAGTAAATTCAGTACCCCCATACTTAGTTCTTAGTATTGTGTAAGTATCATCTGTGTAGTGACAACAGAATATGTAATCGATTTATTTGTACTAACAATCTACTATAGTAAGATTTTGTCCTTTTTTTATACCCATCTATAGAACTTTTTGTTTTTGCTTACAGATTTTTAAAATGAACTTTTATAGTCATCATACTAATATTGATAAAAGGATCACAAGCTTTAGGATCAATGAAAAATGTTTCGTAAACCTATCAACAGATCAATATTCAAAGGATTGTGAATATCATTTCGAGTTAGATAGAAGTCTCCTTGCAGACGTCTAGCTGTTTGGGCTTTGAATTTGAATTCAATCAGCTGTTGTATGGTTATTTCATTTGACTGAAAAGTTTTTCTAACTCTTAGAGACCTTCAAAAGCTGTCTTTTTCATTTCATTCATAGTATATGGTTCTAATATTTTTCTGTTTGATTTGACGTGAGTACGGCTTAATACCTTCTTGTAATCATCAGGGTAACGAATAGTTTCTGTTACATTCATTTACAAAATCTACAATACTTTCCACTTTTTGTTTGAGATCATGAACCGAATGATGTTAGACCACCACTGAAAACCTGGACACACTAGATGACCGTTTCGTCCTATTGTGATACTCCTCAGCAGCGTGCATCCACGATCCCACTCGCGAGATTCCAACCCAGGGTCTTTAGTCTCGCGCGCGGACGCTTAACCTCTAGACCACTGAGCTCGCCGGCGTCCAACGGTGTTCATGTCTAACTTCAACCAATCCACGAAATTACGCGACCATCATCCATTGTACTGAGATGGATACCTGTCTCTACTCGACATGGATTAGCTCCATTGGTCATGGCTTCTCACTAAAACTACGAGAATTCCTTCAAGAAGCTAGTCACTAGTGAGTATATGGTTCATGATCTCAACCAAAAACTTAATAATCTTCACAACCCTATACTGATAATTTTTTCACTTCAGTGGGTCATGTGCTTCAATCCAGATGTTTATTATGGATATTTAATGAGGCTCAATTCTTAACAAACTACAATCAATTAAACATTGTATTCAAACTGTGGTATATGAATTATTGAAACTTCATGATTGTTTTTCATCGATAACACCAAATTAAAGTAATATTACTGCTCATTCATTCCTTACCGCATGAGATCGATAGATTTTGGGTTCGAATCTTGCGAGGCGGGATCTTGGATACGCACTAGTGAGAAGTCATATAATAGGACGAAATGGCCGTCGAATGCTTCCAGGTTTTCCATGATGGTGTAGCTTCAATTGACTCATGATCTCAATCATTAAAAGTAATAATTTCTATATTCGATTGTAAATTTTTCATATTTGTGGACAGGCATGACGATTATCTGATACAAAAGCACTATTTCTTTGCTAAATATTCATGTTTGTAAAATTATTTATTCATCAGTTTATTTCTTTGATAATAAAGTTTACTTTCATAGTTGAATTCACGAGTCAATCTAATGTAGACCACCACTGAAAACCTCAAAACACTGGATGGCCATTTCGTCCTACTATGAGACTCCTCGGAAATGCGCATCCACGATCCCACACCAAAAACACTGGAAACCATGACCTCCATTTTCATGCATAAACTCCTAACCGCTAGACCACTAAGCTGGTGTTCAACGGTGTTAATGCTTAACTTCACTCAATCCATTTATCTATGTAATATATTCCTCTACTTCTAGTCCTTATCTAAGGCCCAATCTATCAGAGTCATCTATTTATTGAAGTATTAGGAATACATCTGTCTTTGTACCTCCATGCTATGGTCAAGTAGACAAAGTGATAATTCACTTATTGTAGTAACCAATAAGTTCAGAACAGAGATTATTGAGAGATTTATTGAATTGAATGAAAACCAAGCGAAAGAAGTATTTCACAGTACAAAGTAGGTTTAAATTTTCTTTTCCCGCACTTTGACATAACATTTCATAATCGAACGGGTAACTGTTATTGAAAAATACCATCAGTAATAAGAAAGTTCTTTATAACTACTTAAACATCATCCATAATGATTGTTCAGTTTTCTAAAATTTCCTAAATAGAAAGAGAATTTATTTGTGTTATAAGTTGTGACCTTATGCCCTATCAATATATGATTGAAGGATATCGCCAATTAAAGACTAGTGACTCATCAACCGGAACAATGACGCAAAAAACGCGTACGAATAGTCTAGAGTGTTCTTCCTGACTAGCCTTGACTGTTGAGTTCAGAACAACAAAGACATGTGTGATGAACTACAAGCAGTTGTACCTTAGGCATTGAAGTCACGCTCTCACGTCACTAAAACAACCCAAAACACTATTTCCTTTCCAGATACCTCTAGATCAACCCTTCCACAATGTGGCAAACCAAGAAGTCATAACTGTCCTCATACATCTAACAACACTCAAAATCACTCGATTCATAATCAATACTCCTAGTTTCAAACACTAGATTTATTCACAGAAATCATTCACAATTTACACACCTCATACATAACTAACTCTAATCTTGTCAATCATAATGAATTTATATAATTAATCTGTAGTTTATTATCAAGTCATTTTAACACATTGCATTTCTTCGAAATACCAAATAAATAAACGATATTAAATCGTGATAATCACGAGGTTGTCAATCAGTTATCAACGTGGAGCCTAACATAGAAGTAGGTTGACACAAGTTGTCATATCACATTTGCATTGCATGATAAGATAAAATCAATACTACTTATACATATATTTGTACCAAAAGAACTAAGAGTGATGTAGTGGTACTAGTAGTAGTAGTAGTAGTAGTAGTCGCGATGGGGGTACTTATAATGAGATAAAAATAGGCAGTAAGAATAGGATAATCTTGTAAGTATAATTAATTTGTAAAGTACTTTCTAAACTTGTACAACAGTTTATTGAGTACTATGAAAGCACTTACAGTAAGAAAACAATTTGACAAATATGTAGGATTTTCATTCGAATTCTGTAAATCTCTCTTCAAAGAAAAACATTAAGTTTCCTTACTGTTGTGACTTTATTCCTGACTAGTTATCATGTGATTTATTCATCAATCGGAATACGACTAATACAATCGTAACACTGTGCCACATCAATCACATATTGATCGGCATGAGTTACCTAGTGTCCTTATTAGTCACTGTTTCTTGAGTAACCCTGCATGTTCAGTCCAGAACAGTGATCACAGCCTCACAGCGACATGCATTATGTATTTCAAACATACTGGGTTGATACACAGAAGTCAAATAGACCACATCACACCATAAAATAGAAATGAACATTTATACAAGATCAAGTGGAAAGGTGGCTGTGAATATGGGAGACTATAATGAATAGACTGGGTATAACTCAAGAATGGTAAATCGTATCATAATAGTTTATGGATCAAAATGAAGCTTATAATAAGGGGAATATGAATATACATAGTTAAGTTACAGTAAAAATATATGTTTTTTATTAATCCATAAATAGATCCCTACAGTTACTATCCAGTATTCTCGTTAGGATATAACAAACTGTTGTACACGAAAAACTATGAACAACTATTGTTTCTATTTTATCGGTGAGACTACAATTCATGGACGACCTTTTAGCGACTCTACACTGACCTTGAGAATGTTCAGCTGATAACTAGGACCAAACAGGGATTATCAATGAATGCTAGGAACTCGAATTATGACTTACAATTGACAGAGTTTACGTCATGAAATGACATTAGCTATAATGGCAAGATTGAATATCGCGCCAAAATCCAACACGTATTATCTCCATTAATCATAGTCCCACTTATTATAGTCTACTACCAATCTGAGTATATATATGGATTCAATCCATTAAATGAAATCCTTCAATATGATTGGATTGAATTGACCTTGATAAACCAATAAAAATCCATAAAAAAAAATAATCCTTTTAACCAATCATAATTAAAAATCATCAATGCGTGGGATGATATGAAGAAAATAAATTCAAATTCTCTAATATGATTGGTTGATTCAAACTATTTATAATATTGAATTTTGAAAAGATTCATTCATTTGAAAAAAAAACAAAAGTAAATAAGGAAGTACCGTCCAATGCACATGTACTGCATTTCTTAATCAAAACTGGAAATATTTATACTTTATTTACTTTATTTATTCATTAAATATGTTTATTCTATTGAATGGCATTGAAATGTGATACATTTTCTTATTTATTTATGGAATGATTCATTTAAACAAGATGAAATTAGATTAGAATATGAATCGATTAAATCGTCTAAATGGAATATATCAACGAGCATTCTCATTACCACCAGATAATGATCCATATAAAATAGAATCTATTTCAATGAATAATACAAATATACTATTTAATAAAGTGAATGATGATTATGTCAATCATAATTCATTTATTTCCAATGATGATAAACAAGATCCAACAGATAGTGAATTAATATTACAAGAAACATTTAATAATTTCGATATGATAACACGTCAATTTATAGGATTATCATCTAGTTTAAATAGTTTAAATACAGATGATGATAGTGGTTATGTTCATACATCATTTAGTAATCATAATCAATTAATTGATTCTATTTATTCTAATACAAATACTACTAATACTACAACATCGGAAGATTCAAGTAGTATAAGTGTGAATAATAATACTAATAATAAAGATGAATTATTATTAGTTATGATTGAAGATTTAGTTGATTGGTTTAAACAAATGTATCCAACTATGACTAATGAAATGAATTCAGATAATTTTTTTGATTATTTATCCGATGGTATTCTATTATGTCATCATGCAACTGAATTACATCATCGTTTAACTTTAGAAACTAATCAATCAATTAATCATTCTAAATCTAACCCATTACATAATATACGTATTAGTGGTATACAAGTTACATTACCTAAATCTAGTCCAATTTATCAAAAATATGAATATCATCACCATCACCATCACCATCATCATGATCATCATCATCATCATTCATCTAATGCGATCATTAGTTTTATATCACGTAATAATGTATCGAACTTTTTACAATGGTGTCGTCAACTTGGTATGTATAATTCAATCTTATTTGAAAGTGAAGATTTAGTATGTAAAAAAAATCTACGTAATGTTATTGTATGTTTATTAGAATTAGCACGTCTTGGCAATTATATTCATATGTGTATACCAGATATTGTTAAATTAGAAATTGAAATTGATAAACAATTAACTAATGAATTTAATCAATCAATTAATCAATATTCAATCAATTCAAATAATTATCATCATCAAAAAATCAATAATAATAATGATAATGATAAAAATCAATCAACTTATTATCGATCCAATTGTTCAATAGGATTACGTAAACAACAACAAGATAAGAACATTTCAATGAATAAAACTAATCAACATCCATCATTAGATTGTAATAATAATAATTATACTAATAATGTGAAGAAGGAGAAACAAAAACAGGAATTACAACGTCCAATTGTTGATTTTCGTTCATTAGATGAATTAGTAAGTTATAAATACATGATAACATATATATTCACTTGGTATTATTTAGCTTGTATCTTCCCATTGAGGTTTTATTGGCATATGTGCATATTGTGTGTATGCCAATAATAGACTGATCAATTGATCAGTCTTAAAACCTCAATGGGAAGATACAAGCCAAACAATACCAAGTGAATTTAAATTCATTCCATTGCACAAACAAGTGGTTATCAGGATCTCAGTAGCTGAGTGGCATTTGAAGCGAATGGTACTGGGTTCGAGTCCCAGAGTGAACATCAACAAGTTTGAGATGCAGGTATATCCGGCTGACGAGTCCCAAATACGACGAAGTGATGCGCGTCCTAGATTCCACTGCTAGCCACTATTCATCATGTATGGGACGTTAATTTACCTTAGACGAATATCTACATTAGATTCCCTTCCAGTGTCTATTCTATAGGACTTCAACACAACTCAGATCAAGAACATGTGATTAACCTGACCAGAATGTAAATATATTTCAACACCAAAACCCAACATAATCCAACAACAATGAAGCAATAATAAGGAAAGAGGAATATATAACTCATCTAATACCTGTCAGACTATCTATATGTCTGACTAAGTAGACAACCAATTATTACACCTTTCGCTCACACATTAGATTCTAACAGTTGCCATGCCCTATACCCGTCATAACATATCAACCAGGTCTGTTGTGAGATAGTAACTCACTGAAGACAATGATGGATGTGTCGCTCAATTTCGTGGATTAGTTGAATTTAGACATTAACACCGTTGGATGACGGCTCAGTGGTCTAGTGGTCAAGTGCTCGCGCGCGAAACCGGGTCGGAATCTCGCGGAGTGCGGGATCGTGGATGCGCACTGCTGAAGAGTTCCATACTAGGACGAAGCGGCCGTCCAGTGCTTCCAGGTTTTCCATGGTAGTCTAGCTTCAATTGACTCATGATTTCAATCTGTGAAAATTCTAAAATCTCCACAAAGCCCTTCTGATAAAATTATAATACAGAATTTACCTTATTAAATATATAGATATAGTAAACAAAGATGTATAATAGCTAGTAATAGAATATAGAATGTATGTTTCGTCCTATTTATAACTTATCAGTTGGATATGTTTGTATTTTAAACTTGAGATTAATCTTGGGACTCGAACTTAGTAATGTTTGCTTTAAATATCATTGTATTATCCATTTAACTATTGAGTCCTGATAACCAGTTACTTGTGAAATACTTACTTACTTACTTACGCCTGTTACTCCTCGTGGAGGAGCAGAGGCCACCCACTAGCACTCACCATCCAACCCTATCCTGGGCAATCCTTTCCAGCTCTTTCCAATTGTTATTCATCATTTTCACATATCTACTTCTATCTTCCGACGTAATATGTTCTTTGGCCTTCCAATTTTCCGTTTCCCTTTAGGATTCCAAGTCAGGGCTTGCCTTGTGATGTAGTTTGATGATTTTCTTAATGTGTGTCCTATCCATTTACATCATTTTTTCCTAATTTATTCTTCAGCTGGAAGCTGGCTTACTTGGTATTGTTTAATTGGGAAGATTTAAGTAAATAATACCAAGTGAATATAAATATTGGTTCAAAAAGGCATTGAATACATATATGCCATACTTTATCACTTAATATATGTGAAAGTTTGATCCACAAGGCAGATACAGTCGTATGGTGGCTGGTGACTAACAATATGTTCGTATGTCATTTGTTCCTTTAGGATCCTGGAATACATGTTCACCATTGATATGGAATCAAGATTTTCCAACTGCCCTACATGAATCTTACGTACCCACCATTCTGGTTAAAGGGCCGAATATTCGCTTTTTGTGTTGTCAGTTTCGTAAACAACAGTAGTGCTGCGAGAAGGCAGTGATTAGGACTTCCCTGACAGTGGCTGTATACATGTGGATGTTATAATAATTTAACAGTTGAGATCATGAATAAATTGAAGCTAAAACACCATGGAAAACCTGCAATCACTGGACATCCGTTTCGTTCTATTGTGTGACTCCTCAGGAGTGCACATCCACAATTCCGCCTTGCGAGATTCGAAGTCAGGATCTATCAGTTACGCACGCAAGCGCTTAACCTCTATTGGTTCAAAGAGACATCAAATACATATATGGCATACCTTATCATTTGATTTATATGAAAGTCTAATTCACAAGGTAGTGAATGAACGTAAGGAAATGCAACCCCATGGTAGCCTGTGACCAGCAATAGATTCGTACGTCAGTTTGTCCTTCAAGATCCTGGAGCAAATGTGCACCACTGGTTTGGAATCAGGATTTTTCAACTGCCCTAAGTGGATCGGTTAAAGTGCCGGATATTCGCTTTTTGTTTTCTCAAGTTCGTAAACAACACCCCTACCACGAGAAGGCAGTGAGTAGGGTTTTCCTGACACGTAGCCATATGATAGCATGTAGAAAGGAAGTACGAACTATCCCCACCCTCAACAGTACCAGGGCATTTGGCCGCTATTCATAATTCATTTAATGGAAATTTTTGTATGTATAAACCGTTGATGAAATTAACGAAAGGTTTTTTCATTCTACTATATATCCAATTGAATACAGTATGTGTTCAGTCTATCCAATTTACAAACTATTAATTGAAATGAACATTTGATTTATGTACAATGCTGAATAGATTATCCGAAAGTGATGGCTTGGAATTGTGTCTTGAATGAGATTTTCTTATGGATTCTTCTAACACCATTAGATGCCAGCTCAGAGCTTCATATGTTAAAAGTTTAAGTACGATACTGAATGTCCTGAGTTTGATTACCAAGTTCATGCTTATGGATGTATATTATTGAGTAGTAGTTGTTATCACAATGAATTGACATTAGATGGAAAATCACTCGAAAGTAATAGGTCCTGGGTTCGAATTTCGCGGGATCGGCACGTGGATACTCACTACTGTGAAGTCCCATGCTAGGATGAAACAGCCGTATAGTGGAGAAGATTTGTAGCTCAGGTGGATGATTTTGATGGAATTTTGTTCTCGGAGCTGGATGGTTTGGTTGTGGAACTTTCATCGTTCTTCTGAACGACATCATCAACACAAACTTCAGATAGAAGTGAAGTGTTCGAATTTCTCCATATGCGTTTCACAGCTTGTTCTGTACACATCGACGTACAGTGTTTCCAAGTTTTCCATGATAGTCTAACTTCAATTAACTCATGAATTCAATTACGAAATCATAGAAGTGATAAAAATTTGTAAAATAATCTATCAACATGGAAACTGTTTCTTTTTCTTATCATCCATCGTAATTGTTGTTGTTGTTGTTGTTGTGGATAATCGATCAACTTCATATATTCTTATTATGGTGAAAAGGACAAACAATGAGTCATTTCTATTTTCTATGGCCAATGGTACTGTTGTGTTCGTTAAAGCATGACAACTGACCTGGACAGTATAGGTAGTAAATACAAATATGCTTCTTTGTATTTAAGCAATGTTGTATATTTATATAAAGAAAGATTAGACATACTCATAATATGTTTTAGTAATGTGTTAACCATTATGGTAGTTGTTAAATGACGGATAACTTCTGAGAATTGTTAATGGATTCATATTATATATAAATTTTTATTGTGTAATTGTTAAGTAGCTACACTATCTGTAGATTCATATTCCTCTTATTATAAGCTTCATTTCGATTTATAGACTATTATGATACGATTTACCATTCTTGAGTTATACCCAGTCTATTCATTACAGTCTCCCATATTCACAGCCACCTTTCCACTTGATCTTGTATAAATGTTCATTTCTATTTTATGGTGTGATGTGGTCTATTTGACTTCTGTGTATCAACCCAGTATGTTTGAAATACATAATGCATGTCGCTGTGAGGCTGTGATCACTGTTCTGGACTGAACATGCAGGGTTACTCAAGAAACAGTGACTAATAAGGACACTAGGTAACTCATGCCGATCAATATGTGATTGATGTGGCACAGTGTTACGATTGTATTAGTCGTATTCCGATTGATGAATAAATCACGTGATCACTAGTCAGGAATAAAGTCACAACAGTAAGGAAACTTAATGTTTTTCTTTGAAGAGAGATTTACAGAATTCGAATGAAAATCCTACATATTTGTCAAATTGTTTTCTTACTGTACGTGCTTTCATAGTACTCATTAAACTGTTGTACAAGTTTAGAAAGTACTTTACAAATTAATTATACTTACAAGATTATCCTATTCTTACTGCCTATTTTTATCTCATTATAAGTACCCCCATCGCGACTACTACTACTACTACTACTACTACTACTACTACTACTACTACTACTACTAGTACCACTACATCACTCTTAGTTCTTTTGGTACAAATATATGTATAAATAGTATTGATTTTATCTTATCATGCAATGCAAACGTGATATGACAACTTGTGTCAACCTACTTCTATGTTAGGCTCCACGTTGATAACTGATTGACAACCTCGTGATTATCACGATTTAATATCGTTTATTTATTTGGTATTTCGAAGAAATGCAATGTGTTAAAATGACTTGATAATAAACTGGAGATTAATTATATAAATTCATTATGATTGACAAGATTAGAGTTAGTTATGTATGAGGTGTGTAAATTGTGAATGATTTCTGTGAATAAATCTAGTGTTTGAAACTAGTAGTATTGATTATGAATCGAGTGATTTTGAATGTTGTTAGATGTATGAGAACAGTTATGACTTCTTGGTTTGCCACATTGTGGAAGGGTTGATCTAGAGGTATCTGAAAAGGAAATAGTGTTTTGGGTTGTTTTAGTGACGTGAGAGCGTGACTTCAGTGCCCAAGATACAACTGATTGAGGTGGGTCACACACGATCTTGTTGTAAGTTTCTTGTTAGCTCCGCATTTATTGGAACCTTACCCCCGGAGACGGAAATCCGTGAGGGAAGGAGAGATTTGCATTTTTAGAGTCGACCCTTTCTAACAACACCCCTCCTTGTGGGAAGGCAGAATCG